GATTTCCTTTCATTTAAATTGATATAAAAGCTCAACATTTTTTGTATCTTACTCTAACCTTAAATATCTTAGAATAAACTTATTGTATTAATTTTATTTACATTTTAATTATAGATTAACAAGATAAAGTCTTTTTAGTACACAAATAGCTAAGGAGGATTTATTTTTTGTAACTATATGACGACTGAAGAATCCTATTGGTAACTGGTGGAGCTATGAAATTTCGGAACAATGGATTTTATTTACCTACAGTAATATTGTATTTATTCTATATCCTTAATAGCAAAAAATTACTAAACTTCCTGAACTTCATTCAATGTTTAAAACAATATAAGTTTTAAATAACTACTTTTCTTTATATTCTTCGATGTGGTACGATGTAGGATCGAAATATACTCACTCAATTTAGCCTGACACCACACCCCATTCAAGACCGCCAGCCAATGCCAAGGCGACTTAGGAAGGACCTCAAAAGGAACCCGTAGACCAAAGCCAAGCCCAAAACCAGTGTCGGCCAAAGCAACTGTTTTGGCATTCGGATGACTAAGCTGGATTTCTTTTTTCCAATTTTTGTGTGCACGTTGCAAGTGCCAAGTCAAATTGTGCGGTCATTTATTGCTAAAGACCCACAAAGGATAGAAGGGGGCGTAGAAAGAGACGGCTGGCGGGAGGTCAAGCGGCAGCTGGGGAGGGAGCGAGACGGAGACAGAGAAAAATGCAAAGGGCATTCGAAATGCAGGAACTGCAGCAGCAGCTAATAATCATGTATCAGCTTGGCTACATTTCAATTTGGGCTCACAGCAAAAGGGGGAAGAAAAAAATAGCAGCCAAAGGGCAGAGCTTGACCTTTGCCGCAGACTGAGGATTCATTAATTTGCACCTATTTCCAATGCCACGCCAGGTGACAACTTCCGCCCGCTGTCCTTTCTGCAAAGTAAATTATAAATTTTATTTCCCTTGCCTGACCGAAAATGTCCAGTCGGGGGTCCGTTTTTGAGGTCTCGCTTTGGGATTTCCAGTTTTCGTGTTTTTTCGCCCTGATGTTGGATAGTCACGCGACTTTTTTTCCGGGCTGGGGTTAGTTTTGACAGCATTTTCCTTTTAGCCGCCGAAAGGATTGTCTGCTCGAGCCCAGTCCCATTTTTCGCCCCATTTCCAGCCGTATTCCCCTTGCGCCCAGCTAATCAACTTGTTATATATTATGCGTATTTGCATTAATAACATATCGCGAAAGGCGCGCTTCTGCGCCCCGTTTTTCGGGTCCCGCTTCTTTCGGTCCTCTCAGCACGGAGTAAATGACAATTTTGTCGCTGCATACTTTTGGGGATTACGAAACGACACCAAGTGTGCGTGTTTCGCCTTTGTGTGGGTGGATTTCCATGGGTGTACAAGTGCGGGGTCCTCTTCTCGGCGGGATTACATGGGCTTAGCTGGGCTCAGCCGGAATACTTCTGTGGTATGTGTCAGGTTCTTTGGAACATGTTTATGACCAGGATCTGTAGCTTATTTGGCATAACCATCGAATTTCGATACAGATATATATCAGATTTTTACGAAGTCCTGATCTGAACAGGTGAACTTTTTAAATACATTGAATTAAAGTTAATAGGAAACTAGATTTTTTGAAATATTTCTTTATTATTGATTCGTTGGTTTCTTCCCCCACCACATTTGTATAAGCAGAATGGAGAGAATAACCAGTGATAACTTCATTTTGGATAGCGGTAGCTCCATTTTTTTTCCAAATTCCAACAGTATGCAGTTTAAGGGTTTATATTGTAGCAAAAGTGGAACACTCCAATTCGCAATGGATATAACCTCATTACAGTTTAATTATATCGTTAAATTGATTTTGTTGCAAGTAAAATTAAAGTCCAAAGTGCAATTTAAATGCATTTTTTAACTGTTTTTTTTTATCTTGAATGTACTTAATTATTTTATTCCTTTTTGGATACATTTACTTAATATGCATATTTGTTTCTGACTTCTTTTTTATTTGGAATTGATTCCAAACTATTTGGATCGAATTATTGGAATAAACTATTTTTGGTGAAAATTAATTGCCAGAAAATTTATTTATTCATAATTTATTGGGGTAAATTACATCGTTTTGATGTCTTACAATTGTATCGCACATTGGTCATCATTTTCCGCCTTTTGGGCTGTAAGGTAATTGTATTGCGATGCAGATCATGGCCAAGACAACCAGAGGGGACTTCATATTGACTTATTTCAGTTGGTTAAGTTTGAAAGTAGAACGGCTTTTTATACCGAATTATCAGTTGATAATGTGGAAAATTTCGATTGGTAATGGCCAATTTACAAATATTAAACAATATATTTAAAGGTCTTTTACAAATAATCCATTTATATCCAAGCGCTACCAATTCCCTCTCGATACCAAAAGTTTTGAACTTATAGCTACAGTGAATTTCAAATAAATATATACTTGTTTTTTATCTTTACAATTCAAAAGTTTTAAACTTATAGCTACAATGAATTATAAACAGGGACCGTAAATAATCATTATTTGAGATTTTTATTTTAAAAGGCCTACTGAGGTTTTTACAAGTTTTAATCAACAATTTAACTGGTTTTTATGCACTTTATAGACATGAACAAATAACAGTTAATTTGCTTTCCAAATTTGTTGAAATGCATATACGTTGTGAACAAGAGTAAAAAGAACGTTATTTTTGACGTTTAAAACAAAATATCACAGTAGTCTTTTTAAAATAAAAATCTCAAATAATGATTATTTACGGTCCCTGATTATAAATAAATATATACTTGTTTTATATCTTTACAATTCAAGGTAGTAATCACTCAACTGAGTGAAAACAACAAATAATATTTAACTAAACTAGAAAATATATTTTATTAAGCTTGACTTAGTTTGAAAACATTAACCTTAATTTATTTATGAAGTTTGCGAATCCATGACATATTTTCATTTTGTAAAGTGGCCACGAATAAATAATAGTTTTTTTAATTTATTCAAATGGTTTTACCACTTTGATAGGTTTTATTTAAAGGTTCACATTCTATGTAATTATTCTGACTCAGAATTTCAGCCCTACTTCCCTATTCAGCCAGCCAAAAGTGGTAGCGAAATTGCCAACTAAGGGCCATTTAATTGAGAAAGTATTTTTCAAAAGGCAGGCTGGTCAGGCTTTTGTGAATTTTAATGTTGCATAAAAGCATTTTTCGTGTGCTTGCCCATTTTTGCTAATGTATCGGGGTATTGGTGTGCGTGTGTGGCAGTGTGTGTGAGCTGCTTTTCAAGGTCGCCGTAGAGAAATTACAGTCACGCATCAGATTTTATGCAAAACAGTTGAGCCCGGCTTAGTACTGCCAGCATTTTTTCCCTGTTTGTGCACTTGGCAATTGTTGTTGCTGCTGCTCTTCTTATGTAAGTGCCCAAGTGCGGACAAGAGAGTGTGGATGTTTGGGCGACTGGGTATGAGTGTGTTTGGCAAGTGGGCGTGGCCGTCTATGGCTTTGAAAGTCATAAATTTTAAACAAGTCTCGTAAAATCCCAAGTGAACTTAGCACTTTGCAGTCGGCCGCGTTGCACATTTCGGTCCTGTAGCAAATGCAAATGAGTTGGGTTTTATAACTTAATATTTTCCACCATAATGCTGTTCATATGCTTGGAAAACTTAATGATGCTAACTATTTTGGACAAAGTACTAGTGGGGCGATTAATGCATTTATTTAAAATCTGTGCCGAATTATTTTAGGGGCTTATCCGCAATGACAATCTTTAATGGTCATCTTGCTCTTTTTGTGGCCAAGATCGAAGTATCTATCTCATAAAAATAGCCAAATGTTACGGCAAATGGCCAAAGAAATCTCGATTGTAAAACTTTTCTTTTGACTCTGCCTTCCTGCTTCCTTGAACACTTTTTATTGACCCTTAAAATGCAAATAAGTTTAGAGCGACACACACATGTCAACTATCGTACAAGTTATGGCGTTTTTTATTGCCTACTTTTGCGGGCCATGACAAGCCGAGCTTAGCCGAGAGCTTCACCTTGTTTTGATGTGTTTGATGTGTTGTGTGTGCCTTTTATTTTTATAACTATTTGCCAGCTGTAAATGTGAGAGGCCGGAGCCAAAACAAACAGAACACAAGTAGCAGGAAGAGCGGCACTTTAAAAAGGCTCAAGAGCCGAGGTGTTTTTTTGTGGGTGGGTGTTTTACCATTGCCCCATGCGGCTAATGATGCCCGACTTTCGACCGCCTTTCGCCTGCTTTTGATAAACGCCCGCCTCTGTTTTTTCCGTTTCGCTTCTTTTATTGCGTTACGTTTTATGGGTCGCAGGCGAAGGCGAAAACGAAGAAGCCGAAAGAACCAAACCGGTACATAAACAAAAAGGAAGAATAAATTCGGAGGCTGAAGGATAAATACCCTGTATTCCAATTTTTTGATTTTTTCAATAAAAGTATATATTTTTAAAAACTTGCATTTGTAGATCAAACAAATAAAGATAACCCAATTTGTACCCCAATACAAATTAATGAAAATGAAAATATTTTAACATACAGAAAATTTCATATGTAATGTTTTGTGTTTCAAAAATAATTATTAACAAAATGTTATGTAAACTTGTATAACCTTTTCCTAAAGGTTTAAGGAACACATTTTGAAATTTCTTTAAAAATTTAAATTATTTTTTAAACATTTTATAGTTAACATTTAAATCAAATAGCCAAGTATCAGGCAACTTCAATTTTATATTTAACGTGAAAAAGGTAAACCATTTAGAAAACTATATCAGGTGAGTCCGGTTTTTTTTTCTTAATGTCAAAATATGAAAATATCAGCTTCTTTGCCAGAGGAAGTGAGAGATAGTCAGAGAAAATTACTGACATCGTAAAATACCCCCTTAAGTGCTAATCATGAATCCTTTTTTAGGGGCTAAGAAAAATGAATATACCCAGCCGCTGGGGTGTTGAAATGACTTTGTTTTTCGATGCTCGCCATTTGTACTCACGATTTTATGGTGCAGCGCCGAGAGTTCGCGCTCGGTGACCCGTCGGCTGGCGGCCTCCCGGCGGCGCTGGCGGAACTGGCTGTACTTGTAGGCGAGCATCACGCCGGGAAGGGCCAGAGCCTCCAGCGGGGACTTGCGGCCGAAGGGCATCCTCCGGCTCCTTTCGCTCCTCGGGGGTCCTGCGGATGGATGGCCCGTCCTTCTGCGAATGTTTTCCCTCTGCTTCGGCTCGGCTGAGTTAGTTGCGGCAAGTTGAGATATTGCTGGCTTTCTTGGCTCGGCGACTGGGCAACTTCTCCTTTGACTTTGACTTTCAGCAGCGTCTCATTATGTAATCACAACATGAACACGAACAACACGGCACTAACAGCATTTCGCACGGCACTATTGGCACTAAAGTCGATTGGGCTTCCTTGTCGCTATCATCACACTTTTCTTTTTCCTTCGCATGCTGTTTTCTGTTTTCTAAATTGCTGCTGATGAGCTGCAATCAATTTTGCATTCTGTGAAAGGAGTTCGATGATTGCAAATCTGGGTGCAAACGGGTGTTTTTAATTAAACTATATTTTATGCTACCCAAAGGAGATGTAGGATAGTTAGGAACCATATTGGTTTTAATCAAATTAAATGAGGAAAAAGAAAAGTTGTCTGAAAACAAAATAGAGTTAAATCATAGGAACAAAATAACTGGTATACTGGTTTGATTTAGGAAAAGAAAATAAAAAACTTGTGAAATCAAATTGATATATTTTCCAACACAAATAAATAAATAAATCAGTGCCCTGGGGAGTGGATCTCACTTGATTCTCTAAGGAAAACACATTCGCTATTTTCCCTGGACAATATTTCACACCTGGCTGTCGCACATCACACATTTGCAAGATGAATTTCGCTAAACTTTGAGTGATATTCGTCCCCAGGGTGAGACTTTAATAAAGCAGAGTGCCGCGATTCTTTTAAGATTCAATGCAAGGCATTAGAGTTATTTGCGAACGGCGGAACCGGAATTACAGAGCCACCCGCACACAATGATCATTAATTTCAATTACACGGTAGAATGTTGCACAAAAGCCGAATCACAGGGCTCGACACGCACTGGAGGATGGGTAAAATTGCCTCTCTGATTAGGGGCTGCCGTTTTGAATTTATTTATGGTATATTCTATATAGTCTGCCTTTGGTGTTTGTCGGGGTGAAATGTCACCGAAACTGAAAGCTGGCCCACGTGCAGTTGGGGCCAACTCAGAACGGTGAATGTCGCAGGGCAGCTTCGACAGTTTCCCACGAAACCTTTTTGGAAGCTGCGTGAGCCTGACGCAACTTCCAGGCAGAGCAGAGCGATAGATGATAGTCTTCCAGTGCCTCGGACACGTTTTGTTTACGCCAGCCGTTTTTTGCACGAATCGAATAAGTTTGGCACCAGAAACAGGTAAGTCAGTCGTTCAGTTTGATTTTCTAATTGATCAGGAAATGGGTGGCGACTGCAGTGTTTGTTAAAAGACACCCGTACACCTTCACTCGACTCACGAAATAATCGTGTCCTTTTCCACGTTACGTATACGCGGCGTATGCTGCCGTTTCGAACAACCTTCCCCGTAGCGCCTGCGAGTGCGACTGGCTGCAAGGATTTTCCAGAGCCAGTTTTTGGGATAGTTTTCCCACTGGCTGGACGGCGCAGGCGCTCTTCAGCCCTTGCCGGCGACTTTTTGGTATAACAGATTGCGTATACGACCCGTTCGCCGTTCGCCGCCTTCCTCGAGCATGTTGCCAATTTGTTGTTTAGTCCGTCACTCTGCTGTTTCATTTCCTCTCTCCGTTCGCAGGGCCAAACGTCATGACACTGCTGAGAGCCGTATAAACAAATCACAAAGTTCGGGGGCAGTTTTCCCAGCTCATCCCCACTGGTCAATGGATATTGTCCAGTTGGCCGTTTTGTTGCGGTTTTGTCAGCTCGCACAATTGTGTCCGCTCAACTTTATGTGCCACTGTTAATTATGGTCGGCCATTTGCCCCTTGTTTGGCTAATTGCTGCGGTTTTTACCACGATATGTGTGTATGTGTGATTTGCAGTTTAGCCGAATATTTGCATTTGGAAGAGACAACAATTGTCAAATAGTTTGGATATTGGGCGCGTTTTAGCAGAACAATTTGTGGGGCTGGCTATTAAAATGTTATCTATCGTCACTTGCTGATGTCCCCATTTGGGTGACAATTTTATTTTAATTATTTTGCTTAATTGTTCTTTGCCAAAGTTTATTTGGTTTTGATATTTATTTAAAATGCATTTAAAACGAATTAATTTTAGTGAAACTACAATTTGCGTTTATAATTATAACACTTAAAGCTGGGTTTGATTAAATTTTTATTTAGAAATATAAAGTGTCAACAAATACCCATTTAATTGAACATAATTCGATATACTGAACTAAGAAAACTTAAAAGCATTATTATGTATATTGTATGATTTCTCTTTAAAGATTGGTATTACAAAAATTTCACATAAATAAAAACCTTTACTTATTAATTTTTATTTTGTAAATTATAAATGAAGAAGGGTTTACAATGATCCAAACTTGAATCCAAAGACTTTCCCCCAAGTTGCGATCATAAAATCCCTGCTCCAAAGGTCGTTATACAGTTAGTAACTCACGACAGGTGCGCAGCAGATCAATAGGTGTTAAGGGCGCAGGTCAAAAAAAAAGAACACAGTCGGCTAACAAGTAGCCAGGCGGAATTGCCAAATGTTGAAATGGCGAAAAACAGAGACTAGGCTAAAAGCAAACGAAACCAAAGTAAAGTAAAGTAAAATAAAGGAAAAGCCAAAGTAAATAACTGGAAGTAAAGCCAAACAAGAGGTGTTATACGGAGAGAGCCGGCTCTCTGGCTCTTTTGTGGCTTGGCCTGCTTTTGTGAAACGGCCAGGAGGGAAAAATGGAGGGGAAAATTGTTTGGCGACGCCATGGAAATGATGACGTAAATTGAAAGCCAAAGCTGCCACGGCAACGGAATCTATTTGCAATTCCCCGCTGCTTGCAGACCCCTCTCGCCCCTTCAATCCCTTTTCAACCGACAGGTGTGCAGTTGTTCTGGGCAATCTCCGAGTGCATATTTGTCGACTCACTGAGTGCACTTCTGAGATACAGATACGCGTGCCGCTGCAGTTGCAGATAATTTGACTTTCTGTTGGACCTGCTGTTGGATCTAATGACATTTTTCCCTGACAAAGCTCTTCCATTTCCGCTTAAATGCATTTTCCAACCCATTTCATCCATCTTCAAGCGTTTTGAGTTGTTTCGGCTTGGATTTCAGCTAACCGCTTTCACTTTGTTTGCCCTGCCAGCCAGTGTGTCCTTCTGTGTCCTGTGTGCACTTTGTGCTCAATTCTGCGTTTTCTATTTCTATTTTTAGCCCCATGCACTACAAGCCAGCTGGGTTTCAGGGGCGGCGAGCTGTGGGTGTGGGGGTTTTACGGAAAACCTGCCCTGCCTGCAATTGCATAAATTAATCAAAACTGCCACAGAGTATAAATACTCAATCGACAATAGTCACACACAAGCTTCCGCACATCACAAACCCCCTTGCCCACTTTTCCCGCCCCTCCTGCATTGACGTCACCACTGCAGTTGTCCGGAGCGATGCCTCTGATGATGATGATTATGTTTGTCTTCTGGCCAGGTAAGCACCTTCTTGACCTTCCCCAAACTGTTTACACTTATCGCTGGTAAGGGCTCGCAGTCGAGGGTTCTTGGCTCTCTGGGCTTTCAGTTGCCAGTTCTTGGGTCCTCCGTTCGATTGACAGGCAGCCATCGAGCGGGTTGCCCTGGGAGGCTCTTGTGATGGGGGCACTGCTAACCGAATCAGCATGGAGCAAGGGATATTAAGTGCTGATTACCCCAAAGGGGTACCTGAGAATTCCTTACAATTATAATTGTATTATTATTGCGCAAGTTAGTCGTCACAACTAATGCCATTAAACAGAATAATGAGTTGGCAATGTTTTTTTATAAAATGTATGTATAAATGCAACTTTAAAAGTAATGATTTCAGTTTTTCCATATATTAAATACCAAAAACCAATTACGTTTATACTATAGTTCACATTACTGGTTTTTGTTTATAACAAAAATATCTCCCACTAATTACGGCAAAATGAAATTATGTTAAATTGTCCCATAATTGAGCATAGTTAATTGATGCGTGCATAGCTATGAAAAAAATTGATGATTGAATATTTAAAATCTTAATGGAAAGGGTTAAATAATGCAATTTCATTTAAGTGCTTTATAAATATTGTGTGCGAAATAATCACTTAGGTAGTTCGGTTTTTATATTTATTTTAGATTCATTTTGCACTGCTGTATTTGGCAGCTATATTTGGTACTAATTTACTGACTTTTTAGATGTCTTTATTTTTTTTTTATCGTACTACTTGTTCAATGGTTTTCTAATAAAGTTATTATATTAAAACCTTACATATTTTATGGCTTTAAATCACTTGAAAAACAAATATACTCTTCTTTTAGTTATTTATTGCTAACAGTTAAAAGTTTATGGGCTTATCGGCTTTGTCTTGCTTAGGAGAAATATGTAATGTATATAAACAGTTTTAAATCCACATTGACTTTGTAATATTACTGTTACAACTAGAAGTCATTATGAAAATGGTTTAAATATACTAATTAACTCGGAGTAACTCTAGTATTTATTTGTATTATTAAAGCTATATAATTTTTATCTAATAACAATTTAGTTTACAGGGTAGAATTTTAGTCATTTTAGAAATTCTTTGCTGTCGCCAGGTCTCTGCGTCTTGTACTCATACCTTTTTGTCATTTTCTCGCCTTCAACTTTGTGTGTGCACTTTGTTGGCTGCCCGGTGGCTTGTTTTGGGGTCTCCACCTGACCGACCAGGTCAGTTGTTGGACGGGCTTGAGAGCGTGCGGTCTGAGTCAGCTTTTTCAGTTCACTCGGTGTGCATTTCCCTAATTTAATCTTGTGATGGCTGCGGCTGCTGTTGCCACACCGGGAGCCACTGTGCTTCCCTCCTCGGCACCCAGTGCTCCTCAAGGAGCCAAGGCTCCACCGGCTGGAGGAGCTGCCGGAGCTGCCAAGGGACCGGGAAACCTCCTGGAGATCACGGGCGAGGCGAATATCGTCAACTATATGAAGAATCGATTGCGAAAGGGCGCCATGAAGCGTAAGGGTCTCGAGATGGTTAATGGCCATCGGTTCGGAGTGCGGTTCTTCAAGAATCCGACTTACTGCGGCCACTGCAAGGATTTCATCTGGTGAGCAGTTCTGATTTCGATTTTTCCTGGCACTTTTACATCGCCATCGTTAATTTAATTAGTGCTCGCGTTGCTGACACACTTTTCGTTGTTTTTCTTTCACTTTTTCTGCGCTGTTCTTCCGTTTTGCATTGTTGCATTCGCGCATTCGTGCCGGGATTAGGGGCTTTGGCAAGCAAGGTTTTCAGTGCGAGGGTAGGTTTTAAAGTCCATTATCGGTCAATATTGATAATAAAGGTGTCACAGATATCTCTATTGGTTTTGAACAAATTGCGAAAATTTCCATTAAATAAAAAGAAGTAATTTAATAACAAGTATTTCACCAAATCCACAATCATAAGAGATTTCTGTGGCATTTTTTTCTTTTGCGATAAGATCTTACCACATTTTTGGTTCCCCAGAATGCCGCTTCAACATCCATCAGAAGTGCTGCAAGTTTGTGGTGTTCAAGTGTCCTGGAAAGGACACGGACTTCGATGCCGACTGTGCCAAGGTGAAGCACGGCTGGATCTCCACCACCTATACGACACCAACATTCTGCGATGAGTGCGGACTGCTGCTCCATGGAGTGGCCCATCAGGGTGTAAAGTGCGAAAGTGAGTTGTGGGATAAAAACTCTATAAGCTCTATTTACCCAAGTACTTTAGATTGCAACCTCAATGTGCACCAGTCGTGCCAGGAAACGGTGCCTCCGATGTGCGGAGCGGATATAAGTGAGGTGCGAGGCAAACTACTGCTCTACGTGGAGCTCAAGGGCAACAACTTGAAAGTGGACAGTAAGTGGTTAGGATTTAAGCTTTACATACTTCCCGGTTAAAGGGAATTTCATAATGCAGTCAAAGAGGCGGCCAACCTTATTCCCATGGACACCAATGGCTTCAGCGATCCCTATGTGGCAGTGCAAATGCATCCGGATCGATCGGGACGCACCAAGAAGAAGACCAAGACCATTCAGAAGAACCTAAATCCAGTCTTCAATGAGACCTTTACTTTGTAAATTAGCAGCATCTTAGGTGTATTCGATTTACAAAACTAGTAATAACTTTCTTAACTATTAGTGAACTGCAACCGCAGGATCGTGACAAGCGTTTGCTCATCGAGGTGTGGGATTGGGATCGAACTTCTCGCAATGACTTTATGGGCTCATTCTCGTTCAGTCTCGAGGAGCTGCAAAAGGAGCCCGTCGATGGCTGGTACAAGTTTCTCTCGCAAGTGGAGGGTGAACACTACAATATACCCTGTGTGGATGCCTTCAACGATATAGCTCGACTACGCGATGAAGTGAAGGTGAGAAAATTTAT